TCAGAGTCTCCAAAAGTCTTATTTGAACATACAATATAGAGACCTAGAGTTTCAAGTTAATGATTGGGTATTTCTAAAAGTTAAATATTGGGTATTTCAAGTGAAAGCTCAGTCTCAGATGCATCAGGCCGTATAGAATCTTATGAAGGATCATGCAAGTAGCTTATGAGTTAGAGTTTTTGCCGAAATTGGTGATTGTACACCTAGTATTTCACATGTCATGTTATAACATACACATTTCTAGTATTCATATCGCATGTCACGAAATTTACGTTACCAGAATTTAGATTTGATGTTATAACATTCATGTCAGCTCAGAATTCAGATACTCATGTCAGTCCAGTACTCATATATTTATACCAACTTAGTATTCAGATATCTATATTGGTTCAATGCTCAGATATTTATATCAGTTCAGTACTTAAATATTCGTGCCAGTTCAGTATTTGTATATCCGTGTTAGTTCAGAATTCACGTATCCATAACAAACCAGTATTCATGTATATATTTCATGTTATGCATATTACGATGCCCTATGAAGCTAGCGTTATAATCTATTAGCTGGCAGGTATTTTTGAGAAATTTCGAAGGTAGATATCCTTCTCATTTAGAACTTATATTGTAATCTCCATGTCTTTCAGTATCCAGTCAGCTCAGTAGCCATTCAGCTCAGTAGCCATTCAGCTCAGTAGCTATTCAATTCAGTATCTCAGCACATCAGTAATCATGTATTCATTCCGTTTAGTATACATATGTTCATGACAGTACAGTGTTCACATGATTCCATCAGTCCCATTTAAGGTCTAGACTAAGTCATAGTTACAATCAGGACAATCATTCGAGAACGAATGATCCCAAGGGGGAGATAATGTAACACCCCGCAAATCCGGATTAGTTGTGGATGCGTTAAATGAATATTAATGTGACCTTTTAGACATGTGAAGTCCTATCAGGATGAGTATCGGTGGAAACAACTATTTTAGAATCAAGACTGAGAGTGAGGTGTATAAAATTCAATAGAATTGACTAAGTTTATGGGAGGTCTGTCTTATGTCCATAAACAGTGCAAGGCCACAAAAATTCACGGCCATAGATAGTGCAAGTCCATAAAAGCTCACTGCTATAGACAGTACAATGACTTGTCCAGGGCATTAACATCAGCGCCCCTGACAGTGCAAGACACTGTCCAGCGCATCAACCTCAGCGCCCCAGACAGTGAAAGGCACTGTAGTTTTGGCGCCTCTAATGGTGCCTTGCACAGTTAGTTTGGCCCTTCTTATGGTGTCTCATGCCGACATTGTTTATCCGGGCTAATTTTATTTCCTCCTTAATTTTTGGGACGCGTTCATTTATTTAAAAGCCCTACCTCATTCCCCCACACCCCGAACACGAAAACCTACTCTAGAAATGGAAACTCTCAAGAACCTAACATTCCCAAGGTCCCTCCATCATCGAAGGTAAGTTCTAATGATGATTCTAAGTTAATTTCAATTATCAAACATCATATTAATAAGGGTAAATCCTTCAAATAATTAGATATTAGATCGAGACATTATTGTTGAGAAAAGAAACCCTAGAACTTGAATTCAAGATGATTGACCTTCAAAAAGGTAATGCTTCTACTCCTTAATCATTTATAGCTATGAATTGATGAGTTTTTGGGAGAATAGTAGATGAGTTTGACAAAGGGAATGAAATGAACTATGCTAAGGTTTTGGGTTGTCGACTTATGATTGTTGTAAATATTTGGGTGATGAGAAATGGTGTTAGTTAGATCTATTTGGGATTGTAGAATCACCTAGAAGTAGAAGAATAAGTACTTGGTGAAGAAAAGACCAATTACTAAGGGATATGAGGCTTTACGCCCATAAGGTGTTTGATGAAATGCCTAAGTGACTAAAACATGTGAATTATTGCTGATATTGGTTCCTCTTGGTATATGTTTCCATAGATTATCGTTGAAAGAGGTGACGAACATTGTGATACTCTTAGAAAGGACATAGTCAAGGTATGTAAGACTAGCTCTCTATGTTTGGGAATGTTAATGATTCTCCCTACACTACGTTTCTTTTACAACGTTACTAATTACCTCAGAAATATAGTTAAACTTAGTTCCTTGAATAGTTGTAGAACTTCTATTCTCTAACTTGGTAACACGTTCATGACTTTCATTCTGAACATTGAGAGCTCAGTGCATAATCAATATAGACTTGGATTTGATGCCCATGAGTCTCAGTCCAGACTACTCAGCATGTCATAAACAGTTGAAGTTTCAGTTTTCATAATCAATTCATGAATACATGTCTTAGTCTAGTCCTATTCAGTATTCCAGTATCATATAACTCAGAATAATTTAGTATTTCAGTATCATGTATTGCAGTATGATTCTCAGTTCCTGATCTTAAATCCCTGAATGTTGAACACCTGTATTTAGGCCTGAGGCCGTAGTTTATGCTTTATTCATGTTTGGGCCTGAGACTGCAGTTAATGTTTTATGCATCTTTAGGCCTGAGGCTACAGTTATGTATATATATACACACTTGGGCCCGATGCCGCAGTTTGTGCATATATATAGAGGTCCTGCGGCCGTAGTTTAATATTAAGATAAACATGCGGTTCATCATTTAGAAGAAGGAGTATTCATATCCTTACTTCCTTTGTTCAATTTAGTTATCAGTTATCATTTCAGTTTCATTATCAGTAGTTATCATTTCAGTTATCAGTTATTAATTATCAGATCAGTTTCAGTTTCAACATTTATAATTCTTTCTTTCAGTTGTTTAACATATCAGCAATTCAAATGTACTGACGTCCCTTTTGCCCGGGGCTTGCATCCCACGATGTAGGTAATAATTTACAGGTTGACGATTCAGAGCACTAAAATTCTCGTACCAGCTATTTTGTGAGCCCCAGTTCTTTCGGGGCATTATCATCACCTTATAGTCTTCAGTATTTTCAGACAATCAGTGTTTTGAGTACATCATTAGAGGCTTCATAGACTAGAGTAACAGTTAGACAGAGTCACATGCTTTTCATTTTAAGCAATGTTGGCTTCAAATATGTTCCAGACTTATATTAGTGTTTCCGTACTATGATTTATATCATTCAAACTTTCAGTATATTAGCATGTGTTAGTTTATCTTTCGCATTCAGTATGTTATAATATCACAAGTTGATTTAGTCAGCCAGTTGGTTCGCTCGGTCACATAGTCAGGCACCGGGTGCCGTGTTACGTCCAGGCCAAGTACGGGGCATGGCAGTTTTGAGGTAGTTTGAATTAAAAATNATATATATATATATCATATTTGTATCAAATATGTATTATATGTATATCCATGTTACCTGTGTGTGAGATACATGCGTAATACATTTTTGATACACGTGTTGCAGAAGAATTTTTTTGAACTCGATTTTAACTATGAATTTTGATACCAAATCAGTCCAAATCACTACCAATCTTCCTCAAAATTTATATAGATTTACCTATATATTTTCAATGAATTTCAACCATATCCATTGAAAAAGGCCCCTTTTGTTTAGATTTTTGGAATCTTGTATAATTTTTTTATTTTATTTTATCACCTTGTTTGCTACCTTATCCATAAACTTTTCTTTCCGTCTTGCATCTAATTTTGTTGATCACGCTTAAAATATGGAAGGATATCTTTGCGTGTGATTCTTGAAGAGATAGAATCCTTATTTATTTGAGTTTTTAATTTTTATATGTGTTTGATTAGTTTTAGTAAGTCAATAATTAATGGATAGAGGTTGGTAAGTTAGAACTTATTTGAAACATTTTTGTAAGATTCCCATAAAAAAAAAAGCGAGCTGGGCTTATTTTGGGTGGGTTAAAATGGGTTGAGTCAATAAATGAACGGGCCGAAGTTACTTGAGTTGAGAAGGACTAGATAAAGATGGTCAAATTTTGGATCATAGCCCAAATCGTCCAACTCTTACGAAGCTTTAACTAATGTGTGTTATTCTCTTATGAATTGTTTGATTATCAAATAATACTTTTTTTGCTATGCTCATATATAACACATCAAACAAAAAAATAATTTAAAAATATTTTAGCAAAATTAAACGTAGATTAATTTGGGCTAAAAATCAATCTAACTTTAGATGTGTTGGGTCAAAAGAAGCTGAATTTATCACATATACGTGTTAAATAAGTTTAAACTCAAATTGTCACCCCTACTTGTGACCACACCACCCGTTGCCGAGCCAAATGTAACGAAGGAGATTCAATTTCATTCATCGAGAATTTATAATGAATAAATAACATAAAAATAAATTCTTAAAAAATATTTAAATCTACATACTCATGAAAATACAAGTTCAATTATCTAGTGTAGAATTTTTAAATATTTTAAAATTCGCTTGACAAAAGTGTTGCCTCCGTGGTTGCATAGTATTTCAAAGTAACACCAAGGGTTTTTTGGTGCCGGATTTGCCACCAACTAGTAGAAAATAAAAAGGCGTTAATGAAAAGAAGAAAATGTAGATGTGCCAACGCTCTTTACTTATGGAATGATTTAAACCTCGAACTTTATTTGGTGTAGACGATTTTTATAAGTTTATAACTAACAGTATAAAAAATATTTATATAACTAATTGTATTAAAAAACTTCTAAATAAATCTGTCTGATAACATTAATTGATAGTCTTAAATAATTAGTAAGAAATAATGAATATATTGCAATAAGTAAATTATACTGAACAAAAAAATTCTTTACAGCATTATACAAATGTATATTCCTCCCACTTTTAGTTGTCCACTTTAGACTTTTCACGCTTTTTACAAAACAATAAATAAAGTATGTATAATTTTACCCATAAGAAATAATTTAAGAAATGAGTAGTTAATGATAATAAAAAATAAAAAAAAATATATTTTTTTGATTTAATATAATAAACAAATAAAAATAAAATATATTTTTAATACAATGGACAAATAAAAATAAAGGAAGGAAATACAATCTCAATTTTTTTATACACAAACTGCATATGGAACAAAAAGTGAAAAGGGATCGATGTGGTCCTTTCACTGCATGGAACATAGTGCCATCAGTCGATCAATATTACCAGCACTCTTTGTTTAAGGTCAAAAGTTCACACACACACACACAATGACTCTATCACCTATTTATACTCCCTATGTTCACCTTACTTACTCTCACCGTCTCTTTTCTCAGCCCACTTTTTCACTTCATCCCTCTCTACAATGGAAGGGAAACTCATTTCAATTCCACTTCTCTTTACTTTCTTTACCCTTTCCATTTCTGTATCATCTGTTTCTCTTCAATATCAAACACTTACCCTACGCTCTCTCCCTGAACCTCAATCCCTCTCATGGGCCACCCAAGATTCCAACGACTTTCAACCCTTAAATTCCGAAAATACCCTTGCTGTACAACTACACCACGTAGACTTAATCACTCCTTATACATCCTTATCCAACACCACACCACATGCATTATTCAAACTCCGTCTTCAACGTGACGCCGTTAGAGCAAAACTCCTCTCTAACCTCGCTGAAGCGGTTGCTAACGCTAATGCCACCGTTAAAGACTTCAGCAGCTCCGTCATCTCGGGTCTTGCTCAGGGTAGCGGCGAATACTTTACGCGCATAGGCATAGGCACTCCTCCTAAGTACGCTTACATGGTTCTCGACACTGGCAGCGACGTTGTATGGATCCAATGCTTGCCATGCAGACAATGTTATAATCAGTCCGACCCGGTTTTCGACCCGACTAAATCATCCTCATTTACTGGGCTCTCCTGTGATTCTCCTTTGTGCCGCCGGCTTGACTCGCCCGGCTGTAATAACCGTAACAAATGCCTTTACCAAGTCTCCTACGGCGATGGTTCTTTCACCGTCGGCGAATTCTCAACTGAAACTTTAACGTTTAGAAAGACACGTGTCAGCGACATTGCATTCGGTTGCGGCCACGATAATGAAGGTTTGTTCATCGGAGCTGCTGGTTTGTTGGGTTTAGGGAAAGGGAAACTTTCATTTCCGGGTCAAGCCGGAAGCCGGTTCGGTAATAAATTCTTATACTGTTTAGTCGACCGAACCGGTTCTCCTAAACCGTCTTATCTCATTTTCGGCGAAACAGCAGTTACGCGAAATACCATTTTTACCCCTCTTTTAACCAACCAAAAACTAAACACATTTTACTACGTGGAACTCACCGGGATCAGCGTCGGAGGTACAAGGGTTCCGGGAATTACGCCGGAGTTGTTCAAGCTCGGTGCTGACGGTAACGGTGGAGTCATTGTCGATTCGGGTACGTCAGTGACCCGGTTGACCCAACCCGCTTACGTGGCACTGAGGGATGCTTTCCGCTTAGGTACTAAAAATCTGAAGAGAGCGCCAAATTACTCTTTATTCGACACGTGTTATGATTTGTCTGGTAAAACCGAAGTGAAGGTTCCAACGTTGGTATTACATTTTAAGGATGCTGACTTGGCATTGCCAGCGTCAAATTACTTGATTCCGGTGAGTAGCGGAAGAAGATTCTGCTTTGGATTTGCGGGCACGGCAAGCGGGTTGTCTATAATTGGGAATATTCAGCAGCAGGGTTTTCGGGTCGTGTTTGATGTTGCGGGTTCGAGGTTAGGGTTTGCTCCACGTGGGTGTAATTAATCTCAGATTATGAAAACTTACTTGAAAGTTAACACTCTGTTTATTCCCAAAAGAAAGTTTATGGCTATTTTGTGTTAGTTTTTGTTTTCATGGTTAGATGAATATGTGAAAAAGGAAGAGAGGGGATTTGGACTTTGTAGAAAAAAGAGGAACATCTTCACATGTTGTTTGTTTGCATTATGTGCTAATGATAGTATCGTATAGCGCAATCTTATCCTTTACCTCTTCTCAAATACTCAGTAATGGCAACTTTAGTAAAATAATTAACTTTATCTTAGTTTCTTAAAGTAACATCTTTTCGCAAGAGGAAAGAGAAATTTTTTCTCATTTTTTGGTAAGTTAGTTGAAAGTGGGACCTCAACCAATACACTTGTTAAACAAAAAAATATCTCACACAAGTATGATGCATGTAGGGGTGGGCATAATCCCGATAGAATCGTGAATTTCAATTTTTCGGTTTCAGTTTAATCGATTTTTTGATCGGTGAACGATTTTAAAAATTATTAATTTTTGACTTTTTGGTGTGGTTCACAATTTTGTATTTTGATTTTTTGGTGCGGTTCACGGTTTTTATATTTCGGTTAAACCGAAAAACCGAAATTCAGGGGTATTACAAATTACAAACTTTAAACATCTTTGATTACCGAAGTATTTTGAACAGTATCCATCTTTGATTAATAATTAAAGCATTTTGAAAGAATTCTGTCCAATTACTTTGTTCATATTTATAATTTGGACAGCCAATGTTTGTCCAAATTAGCTAGTCTTACATCTGTGACCAACTTGTAAGATTAATGCCTTTCAATTATTTCGTTAATTCCTTCTTTGATTTGTAAGTCTTAGAAATTATAATATTTCGGGTACTTTAATTTGCAGTGATACAAGTAACAACAATCTGGGAAACCAGATGCCTTATCAGCTTCCTCCAAATGTGCAGAGACTGTATGTGTTTTTATGTGGATTTTAATTTTCTGTTCTTAATTCCAGGCTCTAGTTCTTTTTTAATTTTTTGTGAATTTATTATACATACATCATTCTGACCAGTTGCCTCGTAATAACCTTGCTGGTAATGGTTTTACTGGTGGCGTTGTAAATAATTTTTGGGAAATTATATTTTTTTAGTTGCGTTGTAAATGATGTTGTGCGATCTTTAGATATATTATTTTGGCGTGTCATTGCTAAATTTTGTATTTCTGTCTGGCCAGCTTTTATTTCGAACCGTTTAAAACTAAAAAAATAAACCGGAAATAACTTAACCGAACTTTGAGAAAACCGCATCGAACCGTAATAGTTTGGTTTGGTTTGATTATTAATATTATAAAACCAAAAATCGATAAACCGAATTGTACTTTTATAATAACCGACCGACGCCCAACCCTGGATGCATGCGAAACTACAAAGTAAATTTCTCGCTTCAGTATTCATGTAAACTAGTTGGAAGACTGAAAAGTAGGTTATAGCTGAAACCACAATTCAACGAATTGGCTAATTTCACCTGAGAGGCAGGTGGTAGCTATCAACAAGACAAAAGGATTGTAATTATTTATTACGGTACAGATTATTTTTGCTGCAAAAACCGCAAAAGTTGAAAATCCCCGCCTCAATGTGGAAAAATGCGACTTATAATGGTGCAATTTGGGGGCAGTTGAAACTTGAACCTAGACAAGTTAGTAGGCAGAAATTGACGGTAAGAGTATAAATGTGGACTCGGCTACCCAGTAATTGTTTGAAAGAGTGAATTCTTTTGACTTCCTTCTAATTAAATGTAAAGTTAGCGTCCCAGCTGCCAATACTAATTAGTACTCCTCCATTCAATTTTAGTTGTTAGGTATATTAAAAATAAATTTTAATTTTTACTTTGTCACTTTATGCATATTAAGAGAAGATAATTTTTTTCTCTATTATGCCCACAATATTTATTACTCATTTTAAACTATTTTCTCAAATCCAATAAAATATGCATCAATTAATATATGTATCATGCACTTCATTTATTATTTTATTAAGGGACGTAAAAAATCAAAACGTGCCAAGTAAAAGTGAACGGAGGAAGTACTATATAAATAGTAGGATATGTAGATCTATATAGTATGGTGATCGGACTATATTGCTATCAATAGAAGTAGAAGCAGATTTCAATCTTAATTAATGTAACAAGTCCTACTAATTATTAATCCCTCTAGTTCATAATAGGTGACATTTTAGTCTTTGGCACAACCTTTAAGAAAATACGAATTTCTAGAGAAAAAAAAAATGTAATCACTAAATTATTTTTAATTAATTGTTACCTTAACACATTGGGATATATAAATAAGGGCAAATTTTAGAAAAATAAAATTAATTCCTTCTTGATTATGTAAAAAAATACTTATTTTGGACCAAAATAAAAAGGATCAAAATGTCACTTATTGTGGACCAGATGGAGTAACAGTCAGAGCATTGATTGTTTCAGTGCTGAAAATTAAGACTATTATCGTAAAATTGAGCCATTAATGCCTCTAAATAAAATAGGACATGTAGTTATATAGGTAATACTCCCTCCGATCCATAATAAATGACCTTTTAATCTTTTTATTTTGGTCCAAAATAAGTGTCATTTTACGTAATAAAAAATAAATTAATTTTATATGAGGAATGGAGCATTGCTCCTCTGTTTATACATGCCTCCACCTCTATGACTATGTATAACTAACAGTTCTCGTATTGAGTTAAAGTTGGATCTCCAGATTGATTCTTGAAGGACTCAGCCCAAGCATAGAACAAAATGAATTTATGTTAAAGAAAAAATTGACATGAGTTTTCCAAGTGTTTTATTCGGAAATCTATGATCTCGGGGAGGGAAGAAAAAAATAATTTATGATCTCAAGGTAAAATATGCTGTATATGTTGAGTTATACTATTAATCATGTGGTTTAGACGTAGTATTATGTTTTATTCTTTATGGAATAATTATTTATTTAATTTATTTAATTCAATAAAATACTATTTTAAATAGATCATATGTTACATGTGTAAAGATCGCTGCTGAAAGTAGAGCAATTGAGCTCAGCCATGTCTGTCATGACAGATGAGGAAGCTTCTAGAACTGAATAAGAGAATGAAGAAGAAGAGAAATAGAGAAATGATGAAAAGAAGCTCGAAGCTTTTTCTGATACCTTATAGAGTATATATACACATGCATTTGTACAACTGGCAACAACTAACTCTAACAAAGAATTAACTAACTCCAACTAATTACTTGAACAATTTGATAAATATCTCAATACCCCCCTCAAGTTGGAGGTGGTGAAAACACTGCCAACTTGGCCAAAACACCTGAATGTTTGACGCCTGTTAAAGCCTTGGTAAGAATGTCTGCAAGTTGTTGATCAGTCGCGATGTGATGCAATGAGATAAGGCCCTCTTGCAACTGTTTTCTCACAAAGTAGTAGTCAACCTCGATGTGTTTGGTGCGTTCGTGGAACACATGATTTCTAGCTATGTGTAGGGCTGACAAGCTATCATAGAACACTGGAATATGGTGCATAGAGGGAAATCTCAGTTCAGCCAAAAGTTTGCTTAGCCACACCAGTTCACCAACTACCTTTCTAAGTGACTTGTACTCTGCCTCTACTGAAGATAAAGAAACAACTTTCTGCTTCTTGGACTTCCAGCTGAGTGGACTGTTTCCCAACAAAATAATATACCCATTTACAAATCTTCTTGTGTCTGGACAGGAGGCCCAATCTGAGTCACAGAAGGCTCTAACAGTCCAATCTTCAGATTTGGACGTGAGAACTCCTAATATAGGATCACCCTTGAGATACCTCAACAGATGATAAACAACATTCAAGCGAGGCTCTCTAGGATCTTGCATGAATTGGCTTAAATATTGAACCCCAAAAGCTATGTCCAATCTAGTATTAGTAAGAAAGTTTAACTTCCCTATTAGCTTCCTGTGAAAGGTTGGATCATCCAAAGGCTTACTCTCCTTGGCTTTAAGTTTTTCATTAGGATTAAGTGGGGAGCTGAAAGCAGTATATTCCAAACAATTGTACTCTTTCAATAGGTCCAAAACAAATTTCCTCTGAGAGATGATCACACCATCAGGCTTGTATAATACTTCAAGGCCTAAGAAGTAGTGCAAATTACCTAGGTCCTTTATCTTAAACTTGTCATGAAGAAAGGTTTTCAATTGCAGTATTTCCTCCAGGTCTGTTCTTGTGACTAAGATCACATCTACATAAACTGCCACATAAACCACTGAATCTCCTTGTTGTTTGTGAAATAATGAATAGTCATTTAATGAGTGACTGAAACCTTTAGAACACAAAGCCTCAGTTAGTTTCTCATACCACTGTCTACTAGCTTGTTTGAGCCCATACAAAGACTTATTTAACTTGTAAACTAGTGACTTATCTTCCACCATGAGACCTGGTGGGATCTGCATATACACATCTTCATGTAAATCCCCATGAAGGAAAGCATTGTTGACATCCAATTGGGACATTGCCCAACTGTTCTTTACTGCTACTGCAATCAAAGTTCTCACTGTGGTCATCTTCACCACAGGAGAAAATGTTTCTGTGAAATCTACACCTTTTTTTGAGTATAACCTTTCACAACCAACCTGGTCTTATACCTCTCTATTTTGCCATTACACATGTATTTTATTTTGTAGACCCATCTACAACCTATTACTTTCTTATCAGATGGGAGAGGTACTAGATCCCAGGCATTATTAGCATAAAGAGCCTCAAACTCTTGAATCATGGTTGCTTGCCAAGCAGGGCTGACAGCAGCTTCCTCAAAAGAAGATGGCTCACTAACATGACAAACACTATTTACCAAAGGCTGACTATTAGGATTCATTGATTCATGAGCTATGTGGTGACATTTAGAAAACAAAGTAGTGAGAGAAAAAGAGTGTTTATCAGTGTTGCTGATTTTGTGGACATAATCCTTTAGTTAGACAGGAGTTTTTGTGTTCCCCCTGTGATCTTCTCAGGAGTGTGGGAGGATGATATACTGGTGAAGAATCAATGAGTGGAGGTGAATGTGGTGGAGATAGTATAGAGGTGCTAGGAAGGGAAGCTTGAACCGGAGAAGTATAAGGTAAATGAGGTGAAAGAGTGGAGTAGGTATTGGATCATCTGAACTAGGTGAATTCATGTGTGTGATATCCAATGGGGAATCATCAATGTACATTTCTGTGATATCATTGTGACTAGCAGGTTCATCA